AGGTGACTCGGTTCTTTCGCGTTCAGGGACGAGGTATGTTTTTGGTTTACTACGATTTGTCAGTGTTGGACAGCAAGGGAGAGTCAAGGAGGTACACGCACAAGATACGCGCGATCTTGTTTCTCAGGAGGAGGAAGGCGAGGATTTGAATGGCAAAAACCACCAAACCAGTGGCCAAGGCAGTGAGGAAGGCAACAAGCGTGATTCCTTGGTATTTCTCGCTTCCTGCGACATTAAGTGCTGATGAAGTAGCGGGGGCAGTATCTGATGTTGCTGAGGCACTCGATGTTGATGTTATGGTTCCATTGGAGCTCAACGTCGCAGAGAGTGTAGTGGAGAGGGCGGTTGAGAGCGAGGAGGCGAGCGACGACGCGAGGGTGCCCGTCAGGGTGGCCGAGCCTGAGGGTGTCGCTGTCGGAGTCGTCGACATCGTCCACTAGTTGGCCAAAGAGGTGCCGATGTGTCGAATCACCGGGTTGTCTACCAGCCTCGACAACAAGATGTTGTCGTCGTGCTTGTATGGGTGTTGTGAGGAAGTTGTTGGAAAAAGGAGGTAGTCTTGGAGGGAAAAAGGTAGATCGAAATGAGGTCGAGGTCAGCCTGGGGAGGAAAAACGTGGGGGGAGGCGAGTTGTTCACGATGCCAACGAAATAGGCATGGTGGTCGTGTCGAAGTCTGTGTTTTTCGGTCGTGTCGGATAGTTGTTGCAGAAAAATTACCACGTGTGGCTACGTTGTTTGTCGTATTCAAGACCGATCGTATTATCGCGCAATGGGATTTTCCAGCTTCGGGAAGAGGCAGATGTCAAGTAATTAAGGTAAACTAGCCGGGCCAAGAAACGACGAGAGAAAGAGAGACAGAGGTTAAGAGTAAGAGGCCATAGGCGAGCCAGTGCCAAGGAATCGCAGCCAAAGGGTTTGACCGAAGTAGTTGTGCTTCTTTGATTGGCCGACAAGGTGCAGATGCAACGACAACCAGGGCCCCGGACAGGGGTACTGCAGGTGCACTTTACTGCTTCAAGTCGCTGCAGGCCCCCCAGAGTCAATCGCTGGGTGCGCTGTTGCTAGTTTTCCCTGGGAATACTTCCATCGCTTCAGGAGCCCTGCAACTGGTGACATCAGCGGCTTCATTGGTTGTTCGCTTCAAACGAAACAGACCCCTGCCACCCTGCGGGACAAAGTGGGATCCCGCCGCGGTTGGCCATGACTATGGGCCAATCATCTGCCAGTCACCGAATGTCGCCAGAGTACGTACCGTCTGCCCTGCTGTGTACGTATTTCGTACGGGACCTCGACCACGGCCCACGGCTGCCTCTTGTGCCTTCTCTGTAGCTGTGAGACTGTGCTTTTCTCTCCCATTTTATTCGCACGAGAACACACTTTCTTTCTCTCAACAACCGCTAATTTGCCTGCTATAATAGGTATCCGTACATACAGTACGTACATAACGACCCCTTGGCCCTTCCGTCGTCCAGTCTGTTCAACAGATGTGGTGGGCATGGGCAGTCTTTCACCACCCCACGTTGACGCGCTTTTCTGACGCATGCCTCAGAAATAGATCAGCGCGCGCTTCGTCCCATGTATGTACCAACAGAAAAGACGCTCCTCGCTAGCCAAATCAGCTCGCTCCCCAGGCCCAAGACTTGAATACCCCTGAGAACATCATCATTTGTCGAGTTCTCTCAGCCTGACGATACAATCCCTTAGTCCCTCGCACACGCTACGGACACAAACAACAACATGGACACTGTACAATGGAATACTTGTGGCTATTTGCCGCTCGTGAACCATCAATCGACCGGGCCATCCCTGTGCGGGCAAGGCGAATCGACAATGAACCTTATCCACATAGACAAGCTTACCGAGAGACGTTGTCGTGGCTAAATGGGGCGAGGTTGCGTGGCTGTGCCACTCTGAATATCCATGGTGGACTCGCTGTGGAATTCGCCAACCCTTTCGTTGCCGTTGTCCGCGCCGTCCTCTAGCATTTCGAATCGTGGGGTATCCCAACCAAGTTCACTTTAAGGTCTTGAACAAAACAACCTGCGCTTCGGAAAACGAAGTTTTCGCCGAGACGCCGTCCATTAACGTCTCCCGATGACAAGAAAGCGACACCATGCTTGTCTACGCCACAAATCATCCAAAATGGTGTCTAGCCCGGTCTGCCACCCTGCGTCACCAACGTTGCCAAGGCAAATGAGAGCAGAAGCTGGTTATTGACCACCAGTGGAAACGAGGGCGTCTTTTTTCCGCGTACCGCACTGTTCCATTAGGATCCATTTCTTGGCACAACCGACAACAACATCAGCCGTCATCTGAAATGTCCAAAAGAGGGAGCTGGGAATGATGCCTACGATGGAAAATCCTGCTCTTGACAAAGATTCATGAACAACTGGCTTCGCATGCCACCACCTACCTCCTCCGTCATCCATCCACCCGTCCACCCGTCCACCCACACAAGCCCTTGCTTTTTTCTAGCTGTCGCTTTTGGGTTCCCGGCCTCCAGATATCGGAGCCAACCTGCCCACCCCGGGATCGTGCTATTGGGAGCGTGACAGAGGGTAACAAGCCATCACCAGGGGTTCCCACCCCTTAAGCGGCCGAGGCAAATCATAACAGTCCCGGCGCCGGGGCACCGTGCCGTTTTCTCTCGCAACATGACGACCAAATTTCGGCCCTCCCTCCGCATTCTGGCCGAACGCGGGGATTTCCCCTCCAAGCCTGGATGGGGCGCCTGTGAGCAAGCCACCGTGTATGGCACTACAACACAGACACAATCGCTGCTGTCAACGATGAAGCTAGCGAGCCACATTTCCACACAGATGGGCCACCTGCATATGTCTGCTCTGAGTCTGGACGCACGCATGCCGACTTTCACATCCGAATCGCGCACCCGTGACTAAGCCAATTCATTTGATACGACATCTGACAGCTTCGTCAACCACCACTACCACCACTACCAACACTGGCTAAACATTCAAGCAACTTTGACCGCCCAAAATTGGGGTTTGGGGTTCGGCAGTATCCTAAAGTTCGCATCACCCCCACAGCACCGTCGGCGCCCCGGCAGTTGGCTCTTCTGCCAATGGCAGTCCCGATGAATCGTACTTACTTCCCGTTCTACGATCCCGGCTCTCTACCAGCTCATCAAAGGACCAAGGGGAGTTAGGGAATATCGCAGCACCCCCCTCATTCTCGATCGCTTCCCCGCTTCTCCAGCTGATAATGGACCCCGAGCTTACCTCCGATCCCCCACATGCCCCTCCATGTGAGGCTCCGTGCCGTCTACTTCATAAGTAGCCCTTGGGACGACATTTCCAAAAAGCCTTGGTCCAGTTGAGCTCTGCAGTTTGATACCCTTTGAGACGAATACTTCCACACCATACTTGACACAATGGCAGACCCCAAAGATTTGAAAATTGCCATCATTGGCGCAGGTACTAGCTGTCGGCTTCACATTCTCTGAACCCACGTTCACTAACACGAATCCGCTTAGGAATGGGCGGCCTGGGTTGCGCACTCGCACTGGCCAAGAAGGGTTTCAAGCACATCGATGTCTATGAGACGGCCTCCAACCTCGGCTTCGTCGGCGCCGGTATTCAAATGCCGCCAAACGTCGTTCGCGTACTCGATCGCCTAGGCTGCTGGCCTGAGATCGAGACGACATGTACAGACGTGAAGAGTTCAAGCATTCGACGTAAGGAGGACCTCTGCACCACCCAATCGACATACCAAGTCAAAGGATACTGACATATCAGCATAGAGGGAGCGACCAACGTCGAGCTCGCTCACGTTGAGATGCCCGACATTCGGAAACTCTACGGCTTCCCTCACTGCAACGGCCACCGTTCCTCCCTCGCCGGCGGCATGTACGACGCCTGCAAGAAGGAATCCGTCATCACATTCCACTTCTCACAGGCGTTGCTCTCGGTCGAAACCTTTGCGCCCAAGCCAAAGTTCACCCTGCAACCGCGCGACGGCGAGGCCTACTCAGTCGAGTCCGACGTCCTCATTGCCTGCGACGGCATCAAGAGCATCATCCGCGCCCAGCTGCTCGAGTCCATCGGCGCCGTCGGCGGGGAGGAGGATACGGGCCAGGCCGCCTACCGCATCATGCTCAAGCGCGAGCAGATCGCCGACGACCCGGAACTCCTCGCCCTCCTCGATTCGGACGAGGTCATCCGCTGGATCGGCGAGAAGCGCCACATCATCGCTTACCCCGTCTCCTCCCACACGATCTACAACCTCTCCACCACCCAGCCCGACTCCAACTTCGCCGTCGCCACGAACGCGACCTACACTACAAAGGGCTCCAAAAAGGCCATGCTCGAAGTCTTCCACGACTTCTGCCCCCTCGTCCACCGCATGCTCAACCTCGTCCCGGACGGCGAGGTCTGCGAGTGGCGCCTGCGTATGCACAAGCCCCTACCGACCTGGGTCCACACCGACGGGCCCGTCGCTCTCCTCGGCGACGCCTGCCACCCGACCCTCCCGCACCTGAGCCAGGGCGCCGCCATGGCCATCGAAGACGGCTCCGTCGTCGCCGAGGTCCTTGCCCGCGCGCCCGACACGTCTCCCGCGACGCTCCGGCGCTGCCTCAAGGCCTACGAGCTCTCCCGGCGCGACTGGACCTCCCAGCTCGTCAACATGGCCTTCCTCTCGGGCAAGCAGCTGCATCTCGGCGAGGGCAAGGCCAAGGAGGAGCGCGATCGCATGTTTGCCGAGTCCAGGCAGACCGGCGCTGTGCCGGATAAGTGGGCCTCGCCCGACGTGCAAAAGATGATTTATACAAATGACTGCGTGGCCAACATCCAAAGAGACTTTGACGAGTTCTTCAGTAGCGTAGCATAGAAACTGGAACGACAGACACATTTGATACACACTTTGTAGATACCTGAATCTCTTTATTTTTTGGTGGATTTCTCGGCCTTCACTTTTGCCCTCCGATAACTCTCTACACATGTAGTGTCAAAGTTTCCGTGGCGTTGAGCCTAGGATGCTTGCGTCCTCGGCCAAGCCACTCTCGATGAAGCATACCCCGCACTCGGGAGCTCAGCTGAGCTGAGCTTTGCCGATAGGGACTCGAGTCACACGGAATCTGAGTTTGGAAAACAGGACAGCAAGTTACAAGGCGTATCCGTGATATTATTATGCTATGCGGTAAAAGCTATCGAAACTGCCGGATCCCATTGGATTTGAAAGAACATCAAAAAGGGACATGGAGGCCCTCAAAACGATCGAAAAGGGGGTTGTCTCCTGTAAACCATACCCTTCTCTCAAGCCAAAGACCCAAAAAGAAAAAAGCTGTTTCCGAATTGCACCTCGAGGAATCAAGAAACCCCGTCGTTCCTTTGACGCCGTGCGAGACATGCAAGAACCCCCCTCCATGGCTCGACGATGATGGAAAGCGCAAGGTCGGTCCGGCCTTTTCGACTCTGGTTTAGCCCCTATCACAACCGGCGGGGAGGGCGTCTGTCGTGTATCCTTCCACGCGATGCCATGCACATCTCAGTACCGCATCGTGTCCAGACGAGATAATCTCCACCACGCTCCATCCAGGTCACCTTCTCTCCTCTCACCGTCCACTCAGATGTGGCGCTGATTTGACGTTTCGTTCGCAAGGTAGTTTAGTTGGGGGTATCGTGTGATTTGTTTCGCAATATCGCACCGTTCAAGTAGACGCTGGACCCAGTACGACCCGTTCGAACAGTCGCTTAGAACAAGCAGTCAAGACAGCAGCAGCACGCGAGCGCACCGAGCAGACCAGCCATGATGCCGCCTCCCGAGCCGCCGCCGCGGTTGTCCTGATAGTAGCCGCCTTGCGGCGGGTACTGCTGTCCGTACTGGCCCCCCTGAGGCGGGTACTGTCCCTGGGGAGGATATTGTCCGGGAGGGTACTGTCCCGGGGGCGGGTAGGGTCCTTGCTGGTGGCCGTAGTTCATCTCCGGGCCGGGGGAGTAGTATTGACCGGGCGGAGGGCCGCCGTAGCCTCCTGGGCCGCCGGGGGGAGGCGGGGAGCCGTAGCCCTGGTAGGCTTGTTGCGGGTGTTGAGGGGGAGGGCCGCCGTACGCGGGGGGCTTGTCGTGGTCGGCCATTGTGGGATAGAAGGTTGGTTGTTGTTTGTTGAGTGTGTTGTAGGAAGATGGGAGTGCTATGCGCGACGGTTCGAATGTGTCGCGGGTTGGGTGAGAGGTGAGGTGAATTACTTTTTCGGTTTGCCTTTCGACGATGAATTCCGAAAATAAAGAAAAAAGAAGGTCAAGAAGTCCGTTTGCTCGAAGCGGTGCGGCGAGATTCCCCTTTGTCGGACGGAGGCGGCGGAGGGCTCGGAGGCGGGATTACGTGTGTAGAGGGTGGAGGAAGATGAATGCAGTTGCGGATGGCGAAGGGGAAGAAACCGGTGCGAGGAGTTTAAGGAACGGGTATCGATAGAGCCACGCACACACACATACACACTTGGACAGAGAGGGAATGAACACACCACCCGGAAGAACGTGGCGATGTTGGGGAAAGGATGGGAGGAAGGGTGAGGGAAGGACGTGCGTTGCGTGCGTGGATGGATTGGACGGGAGAGAGCCAAGCCGCGATTTTGGGGGAGGCAACCTGCCTGACCCTTGTCGGTGAAGGTACCTGCGTGCCTACCTACATGCCTCACCACAGGAAGTAACTGCACCTGCTGGTCGCCTGCGACTCGTTTCGCGCCTCTCTTTCGTTTTAGCGGGCGGCGTTAAGTTTGCGGGTTGCTCGTGACTCTATCCTGAAATAGGCTTATGCGCACCAAGTCTCTGGGCGCGCGCCGCGGGGGGGAGTCTTGGGGTCTTGGGGTCTTGGAGTGTTCGTAAGCTTGTCTTTGCCATGTACTTTTTTGTTGGGTCCCTTTTTTTTGCAGTGTAATTGCGATGAGGATCCGTATGTCTCCGTTTTTGACGGAGGGTGCCCGTCGTTCGCAAACCGACCTGGTTCCTGCGGCTTTGACGGGACAATAATTACAGATCATCAAAATTAATAAAGTAGTGGTTCAGGCACGAAGAAGAAAGGTCCAATGAAGCTTCCTGCGACAGCCTTGTTCCCCTTCTCCATCCAATCTTTCCATGCGCGACGCAAGGCGACAAGCATATCCGGGTACGGAGAGGAAACTAATACACAGCATTAAGCAGTACCTACTTGCCTAGCATCTAAAGCAAGCACCTGTGACATTCGCCAGCCCCAAACTGTCCCTGTCTCAAATCCGTCCGCCTCCCCTTCTCCTTCTCCTCCTCCCCACCAGTCAAGCTCACCCAACCACCATGACACCAACGACCCCCCCCCCCGGCCCTTCGGCTCCCCGGCAAAGACCCAGCAATCCAATGAGAGGTTAGTCACCATCCCCAAAGGTCGCGTTCGCATTGCCCCATCTGATCACGCCGTTGCTCGCTGCTGGAGGCTGGAGCTCCTCCCACGGGATCACAACAGCGCCTGCCGCCGTCCCGAAGCGGCATGCACCCAATCACCGGCGCAGCAATCTACCTGCGTGGTCATCTAGCGTGCTGGAGAGCAGACCCGCTCGGGCTACTCGGGTCCCTGGCGACGCCGCAGCATGTCACCAAGTAAGGCGTCTAAAAAGGGTCTGGCAGACGGGATGGGTCACACCAGCGGTGCTCCGCCGACGAACCTAGAATGAGGAGACCCACTGTTTCCGTCACGGCGGCCGACATTTTCGGCCCGGCGCCGGGGTCGCGTGAAGTATCCGGCCATCTCCGAGCTCTTCTCCGTTTTGGTAGCTGTGTCAGAGGTGCCTGCAACAACACTATCTTCGTGATTTAATCTACGTGACGAGGCCGAAAAGAAATACTTCGTAATCCTCAACAGACTACCTTTGGTGAGTAGGTTTCAATACAGCCGAGAGAGCCAAGTGGTTCGTGGCCCCGCCGCCATCTTGATTCATGGGGAAATGCGTCATGTTTTTAAAGCGAGGCAGCTACAGGTTGGTAATCTCATGGCAAGCGCTAGTCTTAACTCAGGTTTGCAGGATATCATGTTTGCCTGATAAGACCCCCTCCCCGGGGATTAATCAGAATCATAGTCGAGAGGTTTGGCGATGAAATCACCCGCCGACCAAAATAAGAACACTGTCTATAGACTGAGCTAAAAACAGTCACACCAACTTGAAGTTTCCATAGAGTTCAAACTTCATGTAAACGTGGTAATCTAGTCTAATTGTAGCTTATTCATTGAACAAACAGCCCGCATCAAATATCAAAGTCTCTCCTCACGCCACTGAATGAATGCGATTTACATTGACACATAGATTCTCGTCACTCAGTGAGCCTCGTGTGTATCCGTACGGCTCGGTCTCCAGGTCTTCAGCTGCACGACCGACAGGAATCCTGCAGGTGAGCAATCGTTAGCCTTCCGCCCCATCGACCCAGCTAGTACCGCAATATCGCCTCATTTACTGGCTTGATATCTGCATACTAGGTAGGTACTAGATACAGGTAGAAACACAGAGAGTAGGAGCTCGAGGAAAGATATGCGCAGCTAAAAGGGTGCAGGAAGGAGTCAAGAGGATCCAGAAACGTAGAGACAGGGGACAAATGGTGTAGCCTTCCTCTTGTCGCTTGTACTTGATTGAGACTCGCTCAAAAAATCGTGGATCATATGCTTCACGCGGGGTACAACACGTTCTTACAGCTTGCGGCGTCGGACAGTGACTGCAGTACCAGTGCTCCTCGTTGTGAAAGTCCCCCAAAAGATACCACAGCCTCGAGCAAACTTAAAGTCCAACTACAGGCCCGGTAGGAGAGTAGGACCCTTGCCAAATCACAGCTCTAGAAAAGTAACGTGGAAGGATGAAGCTGGAACCCGAGTGAAGACGACACCCAAAAAAAAGAAAAGGGGAACCAATCAATCTCCAAATAAATAGGTAGTTGAAATGTGCACTAGCCGTAGAGAAGAAATCCGAGGGAAGGGACAGTCACTGCGCACTTCGGAGGGATCGAAAATGCCAATTGTGGATACTCTATGATCAATGGAAACAAGAAATCTACAACACAAGCAGAAGAACACGGTGTAAATCGATTAATCAACCAATTAATCGTGCAATGTCAGCAAGTAATTAGTGATATTCGTAAGAGGCAAAGGCAAAAGTTCCGAAACCGAGAATCGAACTCGGGGCTATGCCTAACCTCTCGGGTGAATGAGAGGGCATCATGTTGGCCACTACACCATATCGGATGTTATTGATAATGTCTAAAAAAACATGAGCTAAGTAGGGTGCCGCGCAGTGTAGCCGGCAATTCACCGGCACACCACACCACAACAACACCAGGGACGACTTTTCCAGGTCGAGTCACGATATCTCAGATTGGCATCGGAGGTTTATATGTCCTGGTTTGTTCCACTCCCCAGATCAACTCTCTTCTTTAGATTATCGTCTTGCTCAGTTCCTCCATATGCTAATAACTAACCCAGGCCCCTCATAAGATAGCGTCCATCCTTCTTCGCTAACACGCCTCCACTCGCGTCACCACCCAAAAGGCCAGAGTAAAATAGAGAAATTCTTCCGACATACATACCACCCACAACCGAATCGTTGATGATGTAAATTTTAGAAAAGGAAACTTTCAAAACCATCGGAAATGTTTGTTCATCGCTGTGCATCGCTTCGCTATTTCAGATCAAATGGAGAAGAGACGAGGCTTAAAAGAAGAAAAGGAAAAAAAGCCGCTTTCAGTGATGATGGATCGACGTCGCTTTCAATGGCCCAGGGTAGCCCCGAGGGTCGGAAGGCCTCGTCTTCGCAAGTCGCTATTCACTTCTTCGGCGTGCTCGAGAAAGTGACCTTGCATCGAGTCCCAGAGAGATGCCGGCGGTACTGCCAACGGCTTGTTAGTGAATCCCATTTCTCAAAGCACCTTTTTCCTTACCTTCCAGCACTCCGGTTCTTTCCAAGGCGTATTGTGTCACCGCGCAGTGAGTACTGATCTGGAACATGAATCCTGCAACCAGAATGTCAGTCGTGGCGATTGGCGTTGCGGCTCATTACTGTCCTTACCGAGGAATCCTTCTCCCACGCGTTGGGCCTTCAATTCGTTGGTGGTCGCCTGCACAAACGCCTCATGTGTTTCTGTGGCCCCCTATCAGTATCTGATCTCATGTCCGAAGGAAGTTGTCTCCCGCATTTCCTACCTCCGTGAGGCATGAAGCTCGATTGGAAACTCAGGCCACCAGCTTCCAAGTTGCGACTGGTCCCCTTGTAACCGCCGTATACGATTCCTACCACCTCGGTCGACATGTTTCGGTGGTAATACTACCACCCCATTAGCTACGGCCCTCGTCACCCACCCCCAAACAAGAACCAACACATACGGGAGGTCGAAAGGTATTCGTCGCCGAAGACCACTTTGGCGTGAAGAACATGACATCCGTTGCGGGTACCCCAGGCATCTTGGACCTCGCCGTCAAGACGGTGTACAAACTAGGGTCGGCTTGGTCCTTGTCCACAAAGGCGGCGTTGACAAACTTTTCGGCGGCATACTTGAAAGGCACGTAGCTATCAGACGATGTCAGCACCTGAACAGAATAGATTGGGGGTCAAATGGGTCTTGGAGCGGGCGTTTCTCTTACTTGCCATCCCATGCAACCACGTCAAAGGGCGTGTGATTCTGTTTGCATGACCACAGCTTGCCAGCCAGTTTATACACGACTAACACACCGCGTCAGTCAGCGCAGTTGCGTCTTGGCAAACGTGATAAGGCAGACAACTTACTCTCCCACTCTGAAGTATCCATGTCAAAGGAGGCGACGGGGAACTCGAAATCGCGAGGCAAAGCCATCCCGTTGCTTCCGAGCGGTCCTAGTTCTGGCAGCTCGTACCGGCTCCCGAATATCTCTTGGATGTCTAAGCCCATCAGCTGGACGTTCCTTCTCATGCATATGGCAGCCGTCAAATGACTCACAACCCCGGGCCGGACCATCCGGCAACCCGACCTTGAAGCGGATGCCACTCTGGATCACCGCCAGCTCGCCAGGCCGTACCATCATTCTGGAAAGATCGTCAACGGAATTTTCGTCACCGACTGGAACCGGTGACTGCCCACCTCCCGAATTCTGTCTGTATGTCCAGCCTGCCAGTCTGAGGCACGAACAGCATGTCACCGTCATTGCTGCAGAATGCGCGTTTCTTCATCGAAGAGTTTGCGGCGTACACGTGTACAGCCAAGCCGTCTTTGGTTGTTGATTCGCCGTTTCCAACTATCGTCTTGAGCCCCTGGACGAAGTCGATAGTCGGACCGCCTGCCTTTGGCACGGGGAATGCTCTCCAGCAGAGTCCTCCGGGAACGAACTCAACATTCTCATTCCCAGATGTGAATCTTGACTCGATCTTGAGGGTATAAACAAGTCAGGAGTGGGTCCATTTTGGTGGCAGTTGCGGTACGGTAGAAGGTAGGGGACCCAAGGAATGAAAAATGACTTACATCTGGGTTTCGTGGCATCTTTATAATATCTCCGTGGGCTACAGATGGGAATACGCGGTAAAACCAGGCATTTTGAATGTCGGTTCGAGAGGCAACGAAAGTCGAACCGTTGAGCTGCTCGGAATAAAGGTTGTACTTTACTTTCTGCGGTACATTACATGATCGAGGCAGAGTCCCGGGGCTTATTGATCAGTTCAGATTCCTGACCGAGAATGGTGAGATGCCAACTTACATGGCTTCAGAAGAGAATCTGTTCCCAAATCCAACTTGATAGACATACGGATCGTTCGGAGAGGACTCCGTAGTAAAAGCGTGCTGGGCAGAGGCGCCCATCGTCAGTACGGGGTCTGAGGCAATGGGATACCTCTCAGAGTTGGGGATAATGGCTCCCATGTTTGATTAGCGTACGAAGAAAGGCGAGAACAGGAGCGAATCTAGTTGTTGGTATTCTCTTAGGGCGGTTCAATGAGGGTTGTGAAACGCAACGGCCGTATTGTTACAGATAGAAGTAGACGGGCATCACGAGTGATAAATGCCATGTTCCACATACGACATTTGTGGCGTCCGCAGCCGGCCAGTATTGACGGCATAACTAACTTTGGCTCGAGAGTAGGCCCTTGCATCCGATGACACTAAGAGAGATCAATCGGACCAGCGTTCGGTCGCGCAGAGAACAATCATAGACAGATCTCTTTCGGTACCAGCGGTACTTCCGGTTGGTACGTATTCCCAAATGGCCGGGCGAGGGAACGTCCCGCCCATTGCCTGCCGGCATGCGGGAGCACAGGAACTGGGTTCCTGGGCATCTGGTGTGCCTCGTCTCCCCCCCTTCTCCCCCCACCACGAACACCGATTTGCTGCAACTCAAACTGAACAAACCCCTTCGGGTATTGGCCAGATCTCAGGATATCGCCAGAAGAGCGAAACACTAGTGCAATGCCTTCTGAGAATGGGTCGATGTAAGCTTTGGCCATCAGTCGCCTTTGCGCAATAAGGCGGCCTTAGTGGGAAATATCAGGTTAAAGCAGGCCCGATTTCTCGCACAACGGTCGAGTTGATGACCGCAATTTGGCCCGGGCTGGCTAATTCCCATTTCCCATCTGGGGCACCCGCCGTGCAGCAAGATCAGTCGGTCGATATCCGAGCCAGGATCCCGTGTTCGATTTCCAACACAACTCTGCTTCTGACGACGTGAGATGTCTTGAGATCGCGGACAAAAAGGCCAGCTACGGCCATGTCCGGCACCTACGGATTGGAACGTCACTCCCGTATGTTCCGTGGGTTCTGCTCGTGACCCAATGTGACGGAGAAGGGGGCAGGGCATACGCGAGATTCCATGGCGAGCCGCGGATGGGGCCATGTACTTGAAAAGTATCCGTACAAAAAACTTGACTCTACGAAGTACGGTGTACCGATATAGAGTAAAGGAGTTGAAAGCGACCGGTTGACAGGTGTCACATCCCTGACAAAAGAAAGGGCATGACTGGGCTCTACGTAGTATGTGGCGCGCAAAGATAAACCATCCACTCGCGGCCGGCAATCGCTAGCCCCAGATGGGAGTTAGATTGTGATTCGGCAGTGAGTGATCGTCGGATCTTTGCGCACTGTATCCGTAGTACGGATAGCTTTCCAGCATTTGATCTCGCTGGGTGTACAGATAGACGTTTGGGCAGTATCGTACTGTAGGCGCGGAGTTATTGCGCTTCCGCCATCGCCGGCGGCCCCAAGCAGAGTGAGACACGAAACAAGCCCGTCAGCTTCTTCGGGCTGATACTAGCCGATGTATGCCTTTCCAGGTATAAAATTCGGATCTGGATGACTTGTCTCGGTACCAAAAGTGCGTTGCATACGTGGGGAGGTTGATGCAAGGGCGGTCCAACCCTTTCTATCCACGAATAGTCTTTGACGACGGATTACCCAGAGCCAGAGGGCAGTGTCCCTCTGCGCTAGGCACGCACTTAAGAGAGGCCCCTGCCGATCGCCTCTGGCACAAGCCGCTGTCAGGCTGGCCTAGGCCTAGAGGCTCGTTTGGCGTTTAGTCTTTCTACCTGGCCTCTTATTTGACTTCATATCAGTCGCTTCAATGGAATTTTTCTGTTTGCAGTAAAGCTCGTTTGCTCGTATTCTGTGTGGTCATTAGCTTGCGTTGTTAGCACTGAGCAAGTTTCCCCTGAAGGCGCCGAGCTATCTAAGTGCGCCCGCCGCAACGATGCGATCGATCACCGATAACCCTTGGACGAGGAGGCTGCCTCTCTTTTTGGCTTTGGGCGTGACGTTCAGCTTGATGATAGAACGCAAGGCAAGAAATCCTGCAATAATGGCGTGACTTCTCGGGTGGGCTCATCTTGAAATGGGGGGGTTCGTTGACGGCCCGTTCGACAACATGGGCAATAATCGAGCGTGATCGAAGATTGCCTGCGCAAGCAAACTTTCCTAGGGTATCTCCCTCAGAAGCCAATACCGCTGCGAAGGCTCCCCGCATCCGAAGAAAATACCTAGGTGTGAAAGGAGTCTGATGGCGTGTGAGGTAGCGTTTCTGGTAACGTAGTTCCGTGCACGAGAGGGTGCTTAAAAAAGCCCAGTTCGGAGCGCCTAGGCACTTTTCGGGAACCGGGATTGTGCCTCAGAGACGACAGAGACAGGCGGGATGAAATGCTCCAAGACGTAGAAGGAGTTACGACCGAGCCAATGAAGGCAAACGAGATGAGAGCGGGATGATGAGATGGAAGGAGGCAGTAATACAGTCGGTTGGATGATAGGTGTGACGAAGTGGGAGGCTAAGGCCGTCGAGGTTAAGGTCGAGAGTCTAATCGGCAAAGCGATGGGTACTAACCTTGTGGACTAAACAGTCGCCAAACTCCATGCGGCGTAGTCGCGTAAAGTGGCTTCGGGAGACTCCAGACTTTCGTCGCGTGTGCTGTGTTGCAACTGCCTGAGAAGTAGTCCAACTCCGGCCGGTGTAAGGTTGTACAGCAGGAAGATGCAGTTGGCGAAGTATGCGTAAGGTAGTGTAGTGTCTCGGTCCTCAACCGTGAGTGTAACTGCAAGTACGATTGCAACTACCAGTGCAACTACATGCTGCATGCTGAAGCCCACTTGCCCGCTTGATGCCATGTGATAGGCGGTTGAGTTCAGGATAACCTCCACAAGCTGGGTGTTGGAGGAAGCGAGGATCCCGTAACTATGCGAAGCGCAAGGGCAGCTTGGGAGTTCCAGGGAATGTGCGGCCCAAGTGACCCGAAATGGCGTGTTAGCGGCTGCAGGTGATGGCCTGGGTGTTGCGAGCTCTGCCCAAGTTTGCGAGTATCCGGTAGCAAACCAGACCAGAAAGCTGGAAAGGCTAAAAAGTGAGGCATCTCGTCTTACATGGCCTGGATGCCGAAGCAAGTAGGGATAATCCGGAGTATCGTCAGTGATGAGAGTCCAGAGCCCCGAAGGCTACGTAGGCAGGTGGCAGAGGCTAGAGATGCCTGTCAGTCTAGGGCGGAATTTGGGCGAATCTTGATTTCGTAAAAGCCTATGCTACTAGGAGAGACCCATGACCTTGGACCATGACGCCTTTTCTTGGCACGGCGGTTGCGAGGTGAGAGAACAGAGGATTCGGAGCCGTGGTCAGTGCTCGATGGTGCCGTGTATGCGGAATTGCCTGCCCGCAACTCGCAGACTGCACGTCGACCTCGCATGCCCCCCCTCCCCCCACTGTAACGCCGAAGTTTAGAGTTCACGGTCAGGAGGGGCAGCCCTGGGCGGTGTAAGCGGAGGAGTGGCCGGGCCAGGGATGGGATTGAGGCCATGGGAAAGGCAAAGGCGACTTCAGCCGCCCGCCCGCCATATCGGAGGGGTGATGAACGACACATGCGGCGGAAAAGGCCCGCCTCGGAAACCTTTGTCTAGCTAGCGTATTTGTTGGTCGTGTCTTGGACTCTTGTCATGTATCCGTAATTCCGTACGACTCGAGGGGAAATGAGGTAGGTGGTGGTGGTACTATCCGCACAGGTACTCCGTAGATGAGAGATATGTTCGGAAACTAGAGGCTAGGTAACCTAGCCTGTCTAGTGTAAGTGGTCCTCTCTCTCTCTTTCTCTCTCTTTCGCTTCCTGGCTCTTGGTCAGCCAGGTTCGTGGGGGGTATTCGTATGCCCACAGTCCAACTATGGATGGATACCCGCCGCGCCAGCAGAGTGGGTGGTGTGCTGTGTGAAAGTTGGGTCCAAGGACACGTTGCGCGCGCCGTCACAGCCTCACGGCCATGTGCGTGGTGTTTCCAAGGCTTGGATGATTGAAGTCTCCATGGGCTTGGCGGTCCAGTCCTGACTCTGCCTTGCGGTGGCCCTGTCGAGCTGGAGACTGGAGTTGAGTTGTATGGATAGTAAGGTATAGGTAATATCCGTACGGAGTACCGTGTACAGATACAGAGGAGAACTGTCTCTGGATCGTCCCAGTACTGTGTAAGGTATCAAGGCAAGTCAGGGTCCCCAAAGAGGCGGGGCTAATAAGGTAGTGAGGCATCATCGAGTTGGCCCTTGGAGAGGATCCATCCAAGTGTCCACCTCCCGAGGAAAACGCACGTTGCTGTGGGGCTGTCGGCTATTTTGAGGTCCGCCAGATTGGATACCGATGAGCGATGCGCGACTTGCGATTTGGTGACCTGGAAGGGGAAGGAACGAAAAGACGTTGGCACCTCACGTTGCACGTTGGGTTTCCTTTCCCTTTGAGGCTTTGGAGGGGGGTGAAGCGACTAGTACCTTAGGTAGGGGTCTAAGGTGTGTGAGGTGTTGCTGTTGGCGCGCAACGTTGGAGATTGGAGAATTCGGAGAAAGAGGTTGTGTCGACACCAGGGCAGGTGCGAGATCCAATCATCCATCGTGACTGCCTCTTGCGCACACCAGCACTCACTCCACCACCAAGCACTTGCATCTTTGCCCTTCCCATTTCCATCCACCCGACCTCATCTTCAACCCGCCGCGCACTTGCTTCACAAATCAACCAACCTAACTCATCCCACATATTGTCAAAAACTTCAGCTCCAGGTACTTCGCCTGCCTGATCTGCATTGTCCACCTGCATTTGCATATTGCACCGCACCTGCATCTGCAATTGGCATTGGCATTGGCAACTGGCACTGGCCCTCATCAACATTGCACTTGCAGCTGATTAGTTCCTCCCTTGTCTTCCCACCTTACCGTCAACTTCGTTCAAACCTCCAGCTCGCCCGCGCCCTCCGCTGCATGTCCCACACGAAAAGCACTTGCATCGTCCAGTCCAATTCCATCTGGGGGGGTTTTTTTTTTCTCTCCCCTCTACCACAAAATTCACAACCAGACAGTCATCCATCCACCCGCCCACCCACACCATCCTGATTCCTCTGACGCAGAAACTACTAGCTCTCCTGAGTCAACTCATAAATCTCTTTTCGACGACGTGTTACTTGCACTGGTCGAAACAGACTCATCAAACATCTCGTCCAAAACATCCAACCGGCTTCTCGGCCGTTCTCTGACATTCGGCTTGTTCGTCGTGTCGTTGTCATTCGACACTACATCGTGTCTGTGGTAACCATTGACTCAACGCTCAACCTGAGTGGTGGTAGGCGTAGCAAGGACCATCTCTGCGGACAACTCTCCGCCGCACCCAGTTCAGAGGCGTAGGGAAACACCAGCCTTCGAATCAGATCACCAGGGCATCCACATCTTGCCGATCTCTCCTCAAGAGTCCAAAAGCACAAAACATCTCGAATCCTGTTTGGTTCGCCTCAGGACGGTACGAATACATCCATACCTGTGCCGGGTACTCTCGCTTGGTCACGGTACATCGACACGACTTGACTGTTGCCATCTCAGGCTCTCAGCCCCCCCGCAACTCTTGTCATCGACCACGCGTCTGCTCTCTATCACTGCATCCTTGGTCATCGCCTCACTCAAGGTTTACCAAGGTGACAATCATTGTTGACGAAGACAACGACGACGACTGCCTCTTGCGGTCTTGTGACTGCTAACTTCAACCACGGCCCTGTCGTCCAAGCTGCTTGGACTTTCTTCCGGCAGGCATCTGGAACCTTTTCTCGTCCCAATAGTTGTAACTGGTACCCCTTTAGGGTTAGGCTTTGTCACTCAAGCCTTCTGGAGGCCATTGGGTTTCGGGTCCTTGCTCAACTTCATCCCGACTACTTTCAGCCGTCAGTCTCAGTCAACTGACTGGTGAGACTGCTTTGCTGAGCATCTACCTAAGTCAATCAGCCAATATCGCTACTGCAAATATCCTACTTCTTGACAAGGAAAGCATAGCTAGCGATACTGCTTCTCGGACCGCCCTTTCGATAGGTAGCCTGTCTTGATCGCCGTTGGCAGTTTGAACAGGGACAACAGTCTAGGCTTTGAGACGACTGGGGGGCACCTGGCCGGTACGGCAATAGCCACAGCATCACCTCTTGCGCTACGCAGGGAGTTGTGACTTGCGTAAGCCCGTATCCGTACGTGCAACCCTCTTGGTTCCCGGAGGAATTCGCCCTTCTGCCCACGGAAAAGGCCACTTCAACGACAATGGCGGAAACTCTGCAGATCCCGGGCCCAGACGTGACCTGGTTGGCTCCTCGTCTACCGTCAGAATCTGCCATCCAGTCAGCGAAATCCCAGGGTCGTCCTTTTGTTACTCTAACCTTTGCAACATCACTGGATTCTTCCCTTTCCCTCGCCCCTGGCGTGCGTACGCGCCTTTCGGGTTCCGAGTCTAAGGCCATGACACACCACCTTCGTCGTCACCATGCCGCCATCCTCGTTGGCGTCGGGACTGTCCTCGCCGATGACCCGGGCTTGAACTGCCGCATCGACGGTGCAAATATCGATGCCCAGCCGCGCCCCATTGTCCTGGACCCTCGTGGCCGGTGGGACTTCACCGAACACAGCAAAGTTTTCGAAGTCGCCCGCGCCAACAACGGCTTGGCACCATTTGTGCTAGTAGGCCCGTCTGCCGTCAATCCGGAAAGAAAGGCAATCCTGGAGGCCCATGGCGGTAAATTCGTCATTCTCGAACCCCGGGAGACCGAACCGCGATTCGACTGGCCATCGATTCTCTCTGCGCTCCATTCCGAGGGTCTGGAAAGCGTCATGATCGAAGGCGGCGGGCAGGTAATCAACTCGCTTCTAGATCCTGCCTACCAGCGTCTCGTTGATATAGTCATCGTAACTATTGCGCCGACTTGGCTTGGACGCGGCGGTGTTGTTGTCTCTCCCGACCGTGTCCAGGATACCGAGGGCATGCCTGTGCCAGCCGCCAGGCTCACAGATATTGCGTGGCACCAGTTCGGTGAAGATATAGTTCTTTCCGGTCAACCAAATCTAGATGCATAGGTGACTATTTCTCTTTAACTGAGTGGCAGGGTCGATGCGGAAGTGGCTATCAGCTCACACTAGACAGGCTCCCGATCACATCTTGTGATACCAGCGGCAAACCTCAGAGGCCAACATGGGAAACTACAGCTGGCCGACCACCGTTGAATGGTCAAGCAAGACGCCGCCGCGACGCACCCGCCGTATTGCCTAAGAACCCGTGCCATTGTTGGTCAACTGTCGAAACTGTCCTATCCTGTCAGGGCCCTGCAGATATCAACATGCCCCTGCTTTCCCCCCACCGGGGCACTTAACGAAAATAACGGTTCATCATACCTCGCTTGCCTGGGTATATCCCCCCTTTCCTTCTTTACTCTGCTGCTCGAACGTCCAGCCATCTTAGATGTGTCCTCGCTTCCTGGTTTCCAACCATCTCAAGGGTGCATAGAAAATCGCCGTCAGGACAAATGCGGACTCGAAGCCAATATCTCCAGTTATTCGCGCAATCGGACCAATGTACCAGGCTTGGTCCATCCCTGGTATTATTAGCCCGAAGCTCAATAGGCTCGCTCCAAGGGCAGCGAGTCCAGAAGGCAACAGTCGAGCGACGTTCCACGCTGCAGGGTCGTAGGAGATGTAGTCCATTCGACGGAATATCACCAGCTCTTCGATAATAACGGCATCGAAGCAGCCGGCCCAATAACCAATCAACCCCAAGAAATTCTCGAGCGAATCAGCCCACGACTCAGCAGCGCGAATCGCCATAGGAATCATGATTCCAAGCGCAACAACGACAAAGACAATTCGAGGGACCTTTGTGAAAACCGGGAGCATCTGCTGCATACAGAGAGCAACGGAGTACATGGACGTCGCGATGTTGCCGATAACACTCAGTGCGAGGACGACCAGTACGAATTTACCAAAGCTGCCAGCAGGAGCCAGCATAGCTGCCATAACGCCGCCAATGCCATACGTATCCCATCCCGATTTCCATTCAGGGACATTGTTTAGAGCGCCTCCGATTGCCGCTCCCAAGATAAGCAGCGGGACAGAAGGCGTCAAGATTCCTAGGTAAATATAGGAAAAGATCCTGAGCCTGAAAATTGTGAGTAGTGTAACTGACTTGGAACTAGACGTTGCTCACTTGGTCGTCTTGTTGGGGTTGTGGTAGGCAGTGAAGTCCGACGCAGTACCGCCAAAGGTTATGAAATAACCGGCCATCAGACCTCCATAGTTAAGTATCTGAGCTGCTGTTGGAGGGGACGTCTCGGCCTGTTTCCACAGGTGTTTCCCACCGCAACCCACAGCAATGACAATTGCAACGAGATTGGGAAGCCATTGCCAGCGTTCCCACATATGAAGCGCGCGGTAACCAACGAACGAAGCTGCGAAGCTCACGAGGCACGCGATGACAATACCGATTTTCACATCGATATGTCCTGGGTCAACAGCCGCAAGAGTCTGGCCGCC